CTGGACTGTGTGTCCAGATAATTCAATCTACTGCCCATTGACTAGCCTCCCGCTCCGTCTTCGCTCCTAATTAAATCTCCATTTGTTGGTTGGATGCTACTGCTTCTAATTGCGTTGCTGTAGCATCAGACCCATGGCGAGCGCACCTAAACACACACACACATGCGTGCAGCCTCCTGCAGCAAGTGGGATCACAGGAACATCACCGCGGTACATTACACCTCAATTAATCACATCAAATACACATCAATTAACCCGTGACAATCAACTAAACACAGCTGGGATGCCGGAGGTATTTCATCGGCAACGACCTAAAGAGTTTTTCTGCAACATCAAAACAAACACATCATCATTTATGACAGCTTTACATGGGAATCCATATTACTATTTCATCTCTCCCTCTGAGCAATGAGCGTGACCGTAGGGCTCTGTGCGCTTTTGAAAAGCATGTCACTTGGGCCATGAAGTCTACATTGTCACACCATATATACAGAGGGATCTTATAAAGTGCAAAGTCCCACTGGATGTTGGACGAGCATGATTTAGAGGCTGTAAATACAAGAGGGAGGTGGGGGGGGGCATCAGGGAGTGATGGACCGGCGCTCACCTGCAGCATGCAGATGCTGCATGGGCCATTTCTTGAAATGAATGTGGATTAGATGGAGGCTCTCCATCTCCCCGGCCTGTCTTCCAGTCCTGGGCTGCTTGTGCTTCTGCTGTAATGGGTCGCTTCACCTTGCTGCCTAGTGTTGGAGGACAGCCCCCTCTCTCTTTTCATTTTTCTTTCTCCACCTCTCAGTCCCTCACCTCACCCTGCCTCTACATCACTTCTCAATCTCTCTTTGTTCTCAGCATTAGCGCCTGCATTTCTCCCACCATCTGTTTCACTGTAACGGCTCCTCTGTCTCCGCTCATTCAGCCTCTTTCTTAATCCCTCCTTTCGGGTCCACCTGCTTTCTGACTCGCATAAATGATAGAGTGTAAATCAGCGAGGTGCCTGTTGTCGCGGTGACAGCATCTTGTGACAGAGTGATGGATCAACGTGACCTTCAGCACGGACTGTTTTCCCGGGGGAGAGGTGTGAATATTTGTGGCTGTTTGTCTGTGCATTTTATGTATTTGTTAAAAGATCCTCGTGTCATGGCTCGAACATCCTCATCTCAGCTTGCAAAGCAACAAATGGGTTGTAAAAGGTAACCTAGTATGTGTGTGGCTGAGTGTGTTTGCTTGTTGTACATGTGTGCGTCCCTAAGGGAGCTTTTTCATCAGCTTTAAAGATGCTTTTACCCCCCCTTCACCAGCCTCCCCCCAAAGCACCCTTTCTCCAACACATTAGTAGGCCAAGGTCACTGCCATGACTGTTGCATAACCCCCATTAAAGAGGCTAACCATAACCCATCTCACATGTTAAAGTCCAATTGAAGAGGCTAAATGACAACTCTAAATTTCCCTGGATGACATGATGCACCAGGAGGTGAAGTGGAGGTGGTCGATGGAGCAAGGAAGTTATGTGCATATGTACGTGCGCGTGTCTAGGAAGAGAAAGAGTGGTGGAGCAAATGGATAGATAGCAAGGTTAGAGTGAGTGATAATGGGGATATAGCGGGAGTGGATAACAAGAGAGTAGACCTCCAAATGTTTTAGAAGCCAGGGTCTCCCCTTTATCACTGGATATCAGTTGTATCGAGTGCCAACGAGGATGTGGCTGCATTGTGCTGCTCGAACGCAGATGTCTGAGGATTAAACAGGGGATGGCAAGAGCTCCCTGCTGCTGGAGTCAAGCAGAGGTAAGGAAGTGCAGCATAAAATAAGCAAGAAAGAGGAATATGTGACAAAAGCCAAGCAAGCGCTGTCTGTGTGATTGCCTGCCAGCATGGATGCAAAGGGGAGCACAATGGGCCTTGGTTTACAAAGCTGCCCCAGTGCCTGTGGTCTTTGTCTCACAACCATTAAAATTCTGTGTATGCAGCAGGGGACCCGGCTGGAGCCATGCCACCATTCAACCTCAGCTGTCAGGTTAGAATAAGGTGTTTTTATATCTGCGGTGAATGAGCTGTGGTGGTGCAGCCCGGCTGCTGGGGACAGCTGTTCTGCACAGCAGTCACATTAAAGCCCACCTGGTCTTCCCATGCCAGCTTTCGGTCTTTCCTAGATCAGCTGACCTGCGTCGGTTGACTTGTATTGCCGCCCGTGGTGCTGCAGGAAGCTCTGGTCCAGAAGGACTGCCCTCTAGCTCTCCATCTGGATTCGAAGCCTGCGGCAGGCGATGCCACGCGACTGCCAAACCCACCGCTGCTCCTTCTTTCATTACTGGCATGGAGGAAGAGACTGTTCTTCTTGGCCAGTGCTGTTTGTTTTCTCCCCCTCCCTTCTTATCTCCCTTTTTATCTTCAATAAAAAATGGCAACTTTATCTTGACATTGTGCAGCCAGTCAGTTCCAGGTAGAGACATATGTTCCCTGTTGAGTCCATAGCCCCATTTTCTACCAGACTTCTTTGATTTTGTGATGTGTGTCTGTAAACATGTGTAATATGTTCCATGAAGTCACAGTGATAAAGGGAGATGACACGTGAGACAAACTATCGATCAGATCAGCACTGGTAATACTGGAAGCAAACCCTGCGTCCTGGAACCTTAGCAACAGCAACACACTTGTTTGCAATGAGTCATCAATATGCTCATTCTCAACAGATTAATTGAGCATTACTATTGTACGTTCATAGATGTAATAGTTCACTGCAAAAAATAGACAAGGATGTTCCCACTTTGACCTTCATGAATGTAAAAACACATTACTCAAACTAATTTGCAGTGACTGATGTACGCACAAAGAAAACCAAGGAAACGGAGAGAAAAGACTAAAATGATGTAGCCACTGCCACCACACATCATGCAGCGTCTACTTCAGACCCAAACATGTATCAGCAGAGTTTGGCGTTAAAGAGGAGAGGAGAGTAAGAGTAAGACATGCGGTTTCTCTGTTGCAAACTCAATGTGTTCTAGAGCCAAGTATGCAAAGACAGTTCTCCCCTGCATGTCAGTCCTGCCTCTATTAATGAAAACATACACTTCTCCCTGAATGTGAAATTGGTCACAAGTGGCACATGTAGCCAGAGTTCAGGGATTCATAATCAGGCCTTAACTGAACCGGTGCTGTGAAGCAAATGCGAACCCACAAGCAAGTATCCAGAGCGATGATTAAAGCGAGCTCAATTCCCTGGACCACTATAACACATCGGTAACTTGGTGTTATACATATTCCTTTTCCCGATAAGTCAGGATTTGGCATGCGGAGGTCTCTAATGCTGGCTTGTTGATGCGGCCACATTTCTGAGTGCACACAGCCACCGAGCCCCTGAACAAGCTGGAAGTGGTTGGGTGTTGCCTATGTGTATTTGTGCAGGCATAAGTGAATGCCTTGGGACCGTGTGTGTGTACGTGTGGGTTTGTGAAGTATGACTGCATTTGTTCGTGGATGGAATTACAGCAAAGCCACTACTCCACTACTGCTATAGTGCCTGGGGAAAATAGGGATGGCTCCTCCATTTGGGCTCAGACAGGGATCAGTTTCAAGGGCCTGTTAGGTTTGACAGACAGTGTTTGTTTTGGAGAAGTTCACGCAAGGATGGTAGAAAGAACAGATTAGCCAGCGAGTGGAGTATTATTGTTACCAAAGGGGAAACATCTAAGGGCTGGTTTTGGAAACAGAAAGCGATGAGATGGCTGTTTGTTTGCCTCCTTTTATGAGTTGTGTGTTTGTGGGTGACAGAAAGCTGCATCTTTTGGAGGGGTATTGTACGTGCTGGTGTGTCTTGTTATCTTTAGCTGTCTACAAAGTGTGTGGATGATGCATGAGATTTATAGTCCTTTCTTTATTTACACTTTCAATCGGTTTCAGTTTTCTCCATCCCCCCTCTCCTGCGCTACGAGGCCGCCCTTATAGTGTATTCACCCACTTCCACCACACCATCTTCTGCACTTACAACCATAAATCTTTGGTGGGAACTTGCGTATGGTTGTGTAGAGAGCGAGAGAGAAAGCAAGAGAGAGAGGGAGGCTCCAGTAATCAGCCATAAGAGTGAGTCAGTGGTGCGGTGGAGCTACAACCAGGCATGCTCCAGGCCTTGGCGGCTTACTGCAACTATTAATACAGACTTTAATTAGCCCGCCACTAACACTGGCACAATCGGCTCAGCGTCGCCCATGGCTGGCGAGGCAGACAGATCAATAGGTCTGATCATGCCTTTTTCATCAGCTCAAATGAAAGCACTTTGTCTCTGAGCTCGGGCCTGGACCTTGTGTATCACCTTAAAGGCTTTCTTTGGCTGCACTGGCTGTGTGCAGCGTTGCGGATGGGGCCTGTATAATCTGGCTGCATTAGGGAACTATAAAGATAAATGAAGGGAGGCACAGAGCATAACTCATCCTGTCAGAGAAGGAGGTTTAAGGCTGGAAGACTTTGTGTTTTCTAAACCAGCCCCTGCCACCCCCACCCCCCATGGCTTCCTAGTTTCTCACTCTCTCTTCTTCAGACTTGCTTGTGCTCTTTGTGTGTATGTGTGTGTGTGTGTGTATACAATCTTGTATTTTTCTCCCCATGCTTTCTGTCTATCACCCCCCCCTCCATCCACCCCCCTTTCTCTCTCCCCCATCCTCTTTTACTGATCTAGAGGTACGGAACTGTTCATTTACACTTCTTCTGCTGCACAAATTGCTCCTCTACCTCTTTGCCAGCACATTTCAATTTGAAATAAAAGAGTAAGCTGCTTTTGCAGTAACAACTTATTCCTTGTGCTTTTTGGCAGGCTTTTCTGTTGACCTTCAAGTTCCCAATCAGTGCAGAAGAAAAATGGAAATAGCTTGTTCAGAGTCCTCATTTCCTGTGAATTGCAGGAATTGTGTTGTGTGTCTGCTCACAGTGGTTACTGAATCACTGCCTTTTTACCAGTTAACCCCTCTCACTCATTTGTTTTCTTTCTTTCTTTCTTTCCCTTTTCAGTAGATGACGTCCCACCTTATTTTAAGATGGAGCCTCCTCAGACACAGGTTCACCTGGAGGGGAACCGCCTGGTCCTGACCTGTATGGCCGAGGGCAGCTGGCCCCTGGAATTCAAATGGATCTATAATGGGACTGAACTCACACGTTTCTCCTTGGAATACAGGTAAACCATGAAACCCTGCCCACCAGAGCTGATTCTATTAGTTTTTTGTTGTTGTAATTCTTCAACTATAATTAGCTTACTACATAAGGACATTTTAGCGGAATTTAATTGTACCTAATAGCTCGATTGTTCATTTTTATTCATATTCCAGACTCATTTTTATGGATTTATGCAGGACTGATTTGGCTGCACATCTCCCTGAAGACGCAAAATCTTGTGTTTAGGGGATTGTCAGATTTATTCCTATTTGTAACTCACTGCATTCAACATTCATAGATGGTGTTGGCAGATACTCTGGGCTACTTTCCTCTGTTCGTATTAAGATGCTGTTTCACAATTTTTATTAAATCAGCTTGTAAACACAATGCTTAAGAATTCTGATAACAGAGCTGAATGTAGTCATGAGAAATCTTGAACCTGTGCTAACAAGGTCTGCTCTGTAGGCAAATAAACATGCGTGTCCTTCTCTGTTTGACCAAATGAACTGCTGTTTTTAAACAGCAGAAGGGAGCGATGAAATGAAAACACTTCAGACCAGTTCTATTCATTGTCAGGTTCAGGGCTACCCAATGCACTATTGGTATACTATAGACTTTTCAAATTCTTCAGATGTCATGTACAAAGCCAGCTTACATGATTTGCACAACTTGTGTTTGTTAATAAGTACAGCTGCTTACACAGAGGGAGTAGGTGGCCTTTCGTTATGACACATCCAGATACACCCTGTAACAGTTTAGGTCCATGTGGGTGGAAGTAAGGAGCTTGGAAAATAGCGACAGGCAAAGCCTCACAGAGGCCACATGTCACCTAAACGGTCATTTGTGAGTTGGGGGCGAGAAGAAGAGTCCAGTATTGCATCCCAACTAACTCAAAGAATACAATGCGCAATCACATGATGTTGCATCTCTCGTATCTAGGCAACACAGAATGTCGTCAAGGTACATTTCACAATTTTGACTGTTACTACCCCTGATAAATAAATGTGACCCTAAATGGCCCAGACCGCCAAGTGATAGGTCTGATATAGTGTCCTAGAAGAAACAAAACACAATCTAGTTCAATCCAGTTAAATCAAAGCAAAAACTGACAACAAAAAAAGTTTATTGAACTGTGACTTTCTATGTATGATAAATACAGGGCTCTCACAGTATCCTTGGCTTTACAAATGTAAAACATAAGATCCTCTCCAACCAATAAATTCATTCCTCTGCTGCCTACTAGTCACTTCCATATAGTGTTTCAGAATACGTTGGGCTGTGGTCTGCGGTTGTGATTGGATTATTGACTGATTGTGGGTGTGACTGTTGAAAACATGACAGAAATAACTCTGATAATTGGGCAGTGATGTGATCCAACACTGGTCGCTACTGGCACTGGTTGTGGTTCATGTCCACATATCGTACAATAAGTCGATAAGGTGATTATCGTGAAAGGCCAACTCATTCCGGATCAGATGGACAGTAGTTTGGTTTGTGTGAGCAGACAGCAGTACACAACAGAAGTAGAAGTACAAGCAGCTGGCAGGATTGCTTGTAGTCTTTGCCTCAGAGGAAATAATGTTTGACAACAAGGATTTTCATTTTCAGTGAAATCAGTACTAACAAATGTAATAATTTTAAGGAAGACATAAACCTTGGTTTGCACCAGACTTTCAGTTGTGAAAATGCCCTCAATGTCAGGTATGAACAGGGACATGGGCAGTTTGCTCAGGTGGCATCGCCTGATTGCTACCACTGGCTATGCCTCCACTCACACCTTCCTTCCATCTGTCTGTCTCCCTCTCTCACATGGTCTCTCCCCTTCGTCTTCTTCTTCTTCTTCTTTCTTCAGCATTTGGCTGTGCTCTCACGTGGCTTAGTCTCTGGGTCTGCCTCGCAGGCCAGCCCTCTGCTTGTTATTCTTCACCAGCCCTGATCAAAGAAGAGAACTGGAATCCATTTAATCAGACCCCCCCCTTCCCCCCCAAACCCCACCACCACCACTCGTCCCCACTCACCCCCCAACACCATGCACTCACACACACTCTCACATTCCCGAATTGCAGCGCTGGGGGAACATGGCAGGGGCAGACTCCACACTCCTAAGTGGCTGTAGCAAACCAATTAAAGGGGGCTCAGCTCTGGGGTTATCTTGCTAGCATTTCACACGCACCATTTAACATGAATGCACGTCAGGGGAGAGATGTAGCTATGACTGCCTAGGACTAACGTGTGAGGTGCTCATATGATTTGATTCAACTGAGTGAAGACACAAGACAACAATAGGGTTTTGTAAGTCCTGCCAATCAGGGACTCAACTTTCTGCCTCTAAATTACCTTTCTTTGAGTTCACTGCATACTTTCCAATGTGACAACAGCAGCAACACACACTTCATGCCTGCTCTGTTTTACTGCTAATTTAGGGCATTTATATAGCTAAGTGCAATGCCATTTAAGATGTTGTTCAGGTGACCGGTGACACATCTCGATTCATTTACCATTTTGAGTCTGGAGGGATGACAGCGACAAGATGACAAATGTCACCGCCCTTCATGCTGATGATGACTAATGGAACTTTGTGTTGTTTGTGCCCATCAGGTACCTGATGCCCTCACTGGACCGTTCACACGCTGGCCACTACCGCTGCATTGTGAGGAACCGAGTGGGTGCAATAATGCAGTGCAGCACCGAAGTGCAGGTTGCCTGTAAGTGGTGGTTTCTTTCCATACATCTGCAGGGTGAGGGGAGGATGCTGTTTTTGTGAAAGGCTTGTAATGCACAGTATGTGGATGAGTCACTGTGAATAAAAGTGGTCCGTTTTTTTAAAATGGTACATTGCGTGGCAATAATGGCGATAGTTTCGTCTTCTTTTTCGTCTTGTTTTCTCTTCAACTATACATTTTTCATTTTAACTCACTTTCTTTGTCTCTCTCTCTCTTACACTCTCTTCCCTTTGTGTTCACTAGATATGGGTGGTTTTGTGGAGGGTGAGAGGTCTCAAACAGTTTCCCAGGGTGAGGGTGCTCTCATCCACGTGCCGCAGATTCACAGCTTCCCCAAGCCACAGATCACCTGGTTCAGAGACGGGCGTAAGATTCCCTCCAGCAGCCGTATGTAAGTCCCCTTTCACCTCGGCTCGGTTTGTTTGGTTCCGAGCAGCGAGCTTCTCCCGTATTTCTGTGCGTAGCTGAATATGTGCTCTCTTATATGAGCTGTTGAAGCAGAATATCTTTCACTTCACAGAGTTCTAAGAAGTTCAATACTGTTCACAGAATTTCTCCAATACCCCCCCACACACCATGAGTGAAGTTGAGCAGAATAGCTCATGAACCAATGTTGGCGCCGGCCCTATGTTCACCATTGAATCACCTCTCAGTGATAAAGCGGGTTATTATATCGCCCCTATTGACTTGGCTGGCGGAATGATTGAAGGGTAGAGCTAGAGCAGGCAGCAGGGGAACCAATTAGACAAAATTGGACAAAAGGCCTCAATTGATGATATGTTTGACTGACAGCGTTCACCCCTGCATGGATTTGAGTGTGAGATGGTGTGTGGAAAGAAACTGCGTGAGGCCGTTTGTACATGATGGGAGTTCTGTGGGGTGTTACTGTATATCTGTATGGGCTGTGCTCCAACTCTGAGTGTGTGCGGTTGCTTTTTTTTCCCTTCGTTGGATTCATGCTTGCTCAGATATGCAATTTTCCTGAAGAGACACTGTGAAGGAAATCACCTGAGATTAATTGCACCATCCAGACAAATAGAGGAAGGCAGTCCACAACTCCTCAGATACCACCTCCTCATTTATTATTCAGCAGCGAGCTCTATGTTGTAGCTGACATGAAGACTTCTACCCTGACTTGCCTTGCTCTTGCTTGAAGAACAGACTGGTGCATGTCTCTTTTGCCTGCAGGGCTCCTGAAGCCCGGTACGAGTGCTGAAGGAAACTGAAAAATCTAAACCCCTGTCAATGAATGTTCGACCAATTCCAGACGGTGGTTACTATGCAGCATGTTTCTTATCAGAAATGAGGCACTGAGGCTTTGCACTCTGAGAATTGAAAGGCATTGACAGGACACTCAAACAGCTTGTTTGCTCACTTTGTGTCATGCTGCACTGATATCTGCAGCCGTGTGCGTATATTGCTGTTTGCGTGTTTGTATTAAGTGTCTGTTGATTCGACTCCTAATTGTGCAGGTCTGTTTATCCTGCACCGATCAGACAGATGCTGGCAGATACAAAAAGCCTAATCTGGCTGCATGCTTAGCGTCAGCTCTCATTTAATGGGCCCCTCTCAAACGTTCAACACCATCAGCCTGACCAGCGTTCAGCAGAGTCTCAAGGCTGCTGAGCCACTGCAAATAAAGCATTTCATAGTGATCGCTGAAATTCTTAAACAATATGCTGCTTTTTGGATACGTGCTTTTCACACTCATCCATGTTTTATCCTGTAAACTGTGGAGCTTAATAGTTAATGTTAATGCGATTAAACTATTGTAAGCAGACGAGACTTCACAGATTTCTAACATAAAGACTTAATTTATAGATGGATGAGGCCTCTCCCACTGTTATATCCCAGATTCAAATGCTGTGCATTTGGAGCCAGAGTCATTAGCAATCAAGGGATGTAGCTGTGGTAGGCAATGTCTCGCAGATACACAAGCTCGACCAATCACTTGTCGGTCTCAGCTGTCAATCGTGATGTTTCACTCCATTTTAATAACTAATTAAACCAAACAGAAACCGTAATAATAAATCCCATCCATTTATATAGATGAGGCAGGATTTATGACCTATAGATAGGGGCGCTTTGGCTTCACTTTTGGGGCAGCTGTCATGTCATCCATCTGTATATACAGTCTATATCTAACACAACACTCAGGCTGATACAATGATTATAGGGAGTTTGAAGGGTTAATTAAAAAAAACTATATATGTTTATCACTAGCTATGGATGTCATTTTCATTCCATTTAAGCATCTGGCAAATGTATTGAAAATATGTAGATATGTGTTGGACCATGTTGTTTTGCAACTAAAAAATCAAATGAGCTTCCGTAGTCAAACGCTCAGACTGGCCTATGATATCTCAGCAGACCAGCCTAACCTATTGTAACCCCAGGAGTTTACACAGTAATTAAAATGACTGTGAGTTTGTACTTCTCCTCCTGTACTGCAGGAACAGTCAGTTCACAACAACGAGATAAATCCTCAACTATTCCTTTAAGACAATGTGGTAGCTTGTAGATGGAAGTGCTCATAAAAATTGTTTTGTGTGCTTCGTTTCAGACATAATTTATGAGTATGTGTGTGTGTTGGTGTGTCCGTGGTTTACCCTCAGGATTTATTGACTGTGAGAAACAACTATGCACCGTTTAATGATACGAGAGTGTCTGCGTGCTTGTTAATGTGTGTATGTGTGTGCACGATGCAGTGTGTGTAGGTGTTTTGGGACACATTTTTTGAAAGCACACCGGTTGACGGGGGATGTCTGTTTAATTGGGAGTCCAAAGTGTGACCCTCCTAGTTTGAGTTAACTACATTCAACACAACGTAAAGCTGTTTTTGTCCTGATTAGGGGAAAGTTGAGTTTAAGTCAGTGTCATGAGAATAACTCTAATGAACGTCAATGCTGTGTCCTTAAACGTATGCTTAACTAATGCATGCATGTGTGTGTGAATATGTGCTCAGTGCTATCACGCTGGACAACACACTGGTCATCCTGTCCACGGTCGCCCCTGATGCTGGTCGCTACTACGCCCAGGCGGTTAATGACAAGAATGGCGAGAACAAAACCAGTCTGCCCATCACACTCACAGTGGAGAGTAAGTAAACGCACAAACATGCACACACACACATTCACTCACTCAGGACGCAGCACATTGTTTGTGTTAGATTGTGTTAAAAGGCTGTTGCAAAAGAAAATGTAGTGAAAAGGAAGAAGAAGAAAAAATCCCAGTATTTTTTAGCTCAAGGCCTCAGCACACAGGCTCAGTCAACACAACAGGTTGGTCAAGCATTAGACTGCAGACAGAGATAGCGCCCTCCACTGGCTGGCTTTTTTCTATCATTTCACATCTCTCTGCAGCCTTAATCATACACATTTCCTGCACCACAATAGTCATCCTCTTGTTCTGCAGTGCCCCTCTAACCTCTGGCTCAGGCAGTGAATTTCAGTAATAAGGTGTGTTGTAGGTGGAGCTCCAGCCGCTCCTCTCTGTCTGGCTGCATGTACAGGCTCATAAAGTGGACCTTCGCCATAATCGCTCCTCACAAAAAAGCAGATTTATGAAAATGACACTGACGTACGAGGGGAGTGATTAAACGCATACACACACTCCCACCCTCACTGCACAAACACGTCAGATTCGAAGGTCGGCCTCACTCACGACTTCAAATGGAGTTTGGCGTTGCTCGCGCAAGCACGGGTACGTGTCAAAACATTAGTGTTCCGCCGAACCTGACGCTCCGGCGTCCCGTCGCCTGCTGTCACCTTTCATGCACACACAGTCACACAAATCGTTCCACCCGCTGCTGCTCACTTTCATCTTAACAAATCAGCCTTTCTCTGCACACAAACACCAGCCAATTATAGCAGTCACGAAAATATATTTTATTTCTAAGTTGCTCTGTGGATAATATTTATGATAACATTTTATAAAACACCCTCTCACAAAAGATGTCAGCGGATCCCTTATAAATTTGTAATATTCATGTGCTGGTGGCTCCTGACAATCGCACAAGAATTTGAACCTGTTCACTTTTTAATATCAGCTTCCCGCTCGCTCCAGCATCTGCTCATCATATCGTTAATTCTGTGTTTGTAATTCAGTGCTCAGTACGCATGACGCAGCAGTCTGCAGGGACCAGATATCACTGAATATCACAGAATCTGACCTTGCGCAACTGCATTTTACATCTGAAAGTCAATAAGGTTTTTACAGCTGCATTTGTTCATTTTAGCAATTCTGCGGAGACAAGGCAGGAAAAATATGCAGTGGCGGGAGCATCTCGTTCCAAAGGGAGCATACAAATGAGACGGAGTTAAACCTAATAGTAAAAGGCAAACTGACAGTGGGTAACACTCCAAGTGGGCAGATGTTTTTTGTTCTGTTTGGTTTTTTTGCTTTCTGTTTTATTCCTCAGAGTGTGAAATACACTACAGTTGAATGGGGTTTACAAATGTCTTTGGACACAGACAGATGTCAACAATGTGGTGATATTAGTCGCGCGAATTTGCTATGCAGGTCACCACGTTGTTTACTTTTCCCATTTAATTAGAAGATTACACACTTGAGGTATTCTCAACAATGAGGGTTTATGAACTGCAATGCATTAATTAGTGTCTGCCAAGGAACCAATCATGTCTGCTGGAAAATAAAATGAGCTCTCTGACAAGTCAAATGGATTTTTTCTTGTGTGTCACTGGCGAACGTAGACAAAATTGTACATTCACACAAATCTGTAAGACACATGGACACTGAACTGATATAAATATGTAATATAAGCATGAGGGAGAACAGCAGCCACCAAGTATTTCTCTTCACTATTTCAACATGATTGCATCAACGATTTCAATCAATAAATCCGCCATGAATTATTCATGAATGATACATGAATTAATTATGTGTTATGTCTTGTTTATGCCATTACCAGTTATTGGCCCATAACTACTTTGCTTATCCTTCATCTCCTCCTCTTCTCACTCGATTATTTCTTCTGCTTCTTCTACTTCTTCTCTCTTCGTTTACTTCTTGACCTCTAAATGTATCAGACTCTCAGAGACCATAACAGCCACACCAATCAAACTTTCCACTTTATCTCACCCATTAATTGGGTAAGAAAATTCCATAGAAACTCTAATTTTACATTTTACCCAATAACGTCCAGCGCAAGTGAGTTAGATATTTTTTTCTTTCCTCACAAATCCTGTGGACTTAAGCCGATCATTGCAGCCTGTTTGATTTCTTCTTTTTCTTTTTTTAGACTCTTCTGATGACTTGAAAGCAAGAAGCTGTTCTACATGGATTGATTGGTCTTTGCTATGCTAATTAATAATGATGTCAATAACACCCTCAACATGAAGCATGTGCCACCGCGATGAAAGAGATTAATAGGGATGTGTTGTGTGTGTTTGAGATGAAACACAGCCCATCTCTTTTAAATCACAAAATTTGCTGTTTGTTAAGGAATTATGTTTGAAATCAGTGTTTCGGTGTTCACCTATTTTTTTAATTTTCCTCCCTTAAGTGCATAAAGCTGTACAATCACAGGTAAAAGTATCTGTTTTAATCTAGTGTAACTTTAGTATAACTACATTTCAGTACAATTAGCTTTTGGTTGTCTTTGAGTTTTAAAAACATGCACTACTGTGGACATTTTTACTCAAAGTCACACTTTACACTGATTTCTATACAACTTGTATATCAACTGATTTTAATGAAGCCAATAAAAATCACATTTCACATGGTAAATTGTTACTGCAAATTATCCAATATATATTGAAACGTATACAATGGTGATTTGTTCGACATCATGATTGAATGAAGCAATCAAATGGGCAGCATACCCACACAGCAGTAACCCATCAGGGGGCCTGGCTCCTACATTCATGCAGTGTGTGTTGAGGAGGCTTTATCATTACACTGCTGAGATCCCACAGAAATGGTGTGTGGTGATTTGTGAGGGCGTGATTAACAAAGAGGTGGCACAAAATGACAATAGTGATGATAAAAACTAGATTAGGGACACTATTAAGCAGGGGAGAAAAAAAACATTATTTGCACATCCGAACAGCACACACACACACACACACACACAGACCACAACACACCATAAACACGCAATCACTCAAACACATACAAGTGCACAGGCTCATTGCTGTAGTCTGGGGAGGTGGGGAAAAATGAGATCAGATTCAGAGAGAGATCACTGATTGAGGGCAGTGAATCGATGGTTGGCTGGAGGCTCCGTGAAACCAGTGAGTGATGGTGCTGCATTTAATCGCCTTTTGTGTTTGTCTCAATTATGCTATATAATGGCTTCTAACACCTGGGCTAATACTGTGTTGAGGAAACACTGTGTGCACTAGGAGCCGGTTTTAAAGTAAAGACAGGGGTGTTAATAGTTGGTTGTCAGCATACTGGCAATAGTGACAGATTGTCAGTCTCCGTGTGTGATATGACAGCCACGCTCAGTCGGCTGTATCAGGCAGATGCACCGCTTTATTCTGAGGTGTGCATATAGTTTTTTATTTCTTTACTTTTTTCTGCTTGTGTATTTCTGCGTGATAGATGTCGGAGGACCCGTAGACCCCATCGCCCCCACTATCATCATCCCCCCGAGGAACACCAGTGTAACAGTGGGGAGAAATGAAGCCGTCATGGAGTGTGTTGCCAATGCCAGGTAAATTTATACATTTTCATGCAGACACTCGTGGACACCGAGGGGGGGGTGGGGGTTGACTGAATGCAAATAGAGTCGTGCACACACACAATCAGTACGCCTCCACCTTCTCTCACCTCCAAATGTGATATTTTTGCGATTTAAATGAGTCTTGAAATCTTTTGTTTGAACATGATAGCAGCGTGTTTTGTACATCTCTCATTTTGTACCTCTCCTCCATTCTCCCCTTTGATTCAAGGCTTCACTCTCTTCTCCCTATCTCGCGCAATCCCAGTCCTGAGTTCTGACTATTATCTCCAATTCAAAGACTTAATCAGAATGACAGATGTATCCCATTGCTCCCTCAATGCTTTCTAACCTTGAAACAGAATATGAATCTGTATTAAAAACCACACTCCCTATCTCTTGCTCTCTCTTTTTTTTTCTTTCTGTCTTTTCAACTTTCCTCTCTCCTTCAGACCCCTCGTCAAAATGAGTATCACTTGGAGGAAAAACGGGGTGGTGGTGAGCACTGGGATCCGAGATTTTGGCCGCAGATTGGTCATCAGTTTGCCCGTGGTCAGTGACAGCGGTTACTACGAGTGTGAGGCGTCACTCCGCAGCAGCAGCGTCCCCTCAGCCACTGCTGGGGCCTTCCTGCATGTTCTTGGTAAATAACCCGCAGCTCACGTTTTACCCTGGAATGGAGCAGCTGAGCCCCAATTACCCAAATATTGCATCAGCGCGACAACCCCCGTGTCGAAAGAACATTTTGTAATCATGTTTTATTTCAGCCGCTGAGTTGATGCTGTTATCTAGAGTGGTTCAAATCCTCATTCATCAGAGAAGGGTCAAGATTAAAAGCACCAATGATTTGTGAGTTGTTTTTAAAAGCTTTAACGGAACAATATCTTTGTCTTCGGAACAGAGTTTCCTCTGTTTGTCAAAGAGCCACCGAGTCATATCAGCGCAGAGATGGAAAAGGTGGTGGATATCCCCTGTCAGGCGAGAGGTTAGTGATGTTTGTTTGTTTTCGCGTGCTAATGCAAGGCAGCGTATAAAGAATGAAAAGACCAAAAGGGCCACAATAACAAGGCGAAGAAAATGAATCCTCTCCTCCCTCTGCAGGCACGCCGCAGCCAGACATTGTGTGGTATAAAGATGCAGTGCCCATCAGCCCGGTGAAGATCCCGAGGTACAGGGTGTTGGTGGGAGGCAGTCTCCAGATCAACGGTCTCCTCCCAGATGACACCGGGATGTTTCAATGTTTTGCTCGCAATCTCGCAGGAGAGATCCAGACAAACACCTACCTAGCTGTTACTAGTACGTCCCTCTTGAAATATGTTCAAACCTATCCGCATGTCAGCTGCTTAATTCTGCTCATCTTCCCCGCTCCCCTTTTTTTTTGAATTCTTAAATCCGGTCCTCTGTTCATCTCTAATCCTCTTTTCTCCCTCCCTCTGTCTCGCCTCCTACACCGTTCTATCTGTGTATCTCTTCGCTCTGACAGATTTGTCACCTTGGATGCTTGGGCCATTATTGGCTATTTATGAATCAGAGAATGTGCAGGAGAAAGCGGGGAGATGGAGGCGCCTTGTCAGATTCTCAGAGCTGTCCCTGAGAATGAGACCTGACAGCCGCCCCTATTGTCAAGTCTATTAAGCTCTCAGCTGCCATCTGCTTTATTAGGTAGAAGGCTGTTTATGTCTCTCATTATCACCTCTGTCTTACCTGATCTTGTTTCTCCCTGTGTGTTTCTCTTTGTGTGTGTGTGTGGCTGACCCCCTCCCCTCGAAGGCATCGCTCCCAATATCACCGCCGGTCCCTCTGACAGCGCCGTGATTGACAGCATGTCAGTCATCCTGCACTGTGAGACCTCGGGAGCCCCACGGCCAGCCATCACCTGGCAGAAAGGTGCGTGGGCTCTAACAGCATGAGGTTCTTTGGGGGGAGTGGTTCATTAGCCTGCATTTGGGCTTGTCAAACTTGAGAGCTAAGGAAAGGATTCAGAATATTTTTATCCAAGCGAGCTTTACTTCTTCTGCTTTGCTGCTTCCCCTTCTGTTTGTTTTCCCTGACATTTCTCCAATACCCTAATCTCTCTTTCTCTCTGCCCCCCTCCTGTCCTCCATCCCATACCCTCAATCACTTCCACCCGTCCGCGCAGGTGAACGTGTCTTGGCCAGTGGCTCGGTCCAGCTGCCCAGGTTCACTCTGCTGGAGTCGGGCAGCCTGCTAATCAGTCCCTCCCACCTGTCTGACGCCGGCACCTACACGTGCATGGCCAGCAACTCCAGGGGCATCGATGAGGCTTCAGCTGATCTCGTGGTCTGGGGTGAGAAACTGGACACTCGCTGGATATTGTTGCTCGAAATGTCTTAGTTTCCTTGTGATAAACATTGCAAACCAAGACACATCAATATAAGCTTTGAATGGAAATTGATACAGTGGATGTTGAGTGAAGGTGTATCTGATGGCTGGGAGGAATCATTGGTGAGTGTGTGGAGGGAGACCCAGTGTGGGTGTTCACTCTCAGGCATCTTTCCACGTGAGCTTATTCCGGGCCAGCCCTCAGCCCATACCTAGAGGGAGACATACAAGAGGTATGCACCAAACTGAATAAGATGAGTGAGGGAGGGAAAAGAGGATGGAGGGATGTAATTATAGGAAATGGGGGAAGAGAAGATGTAGAGATGTGAGTAGGGATGAAAGAAGTAGGTGGAATGGGTGAGGGGTATAGCTATGAGAGAAGGAAAATGAATGGATGAGGGAGGGAGGGAGGATGAATTGATGAGGATAGGTACGAGACAAGGAAGATGGATGGATGAGGGTGGAGATGAGGGAAGTAGAATGAAGGTATGTAAGTAGGAATGAGGGAAGGAGGATGAATGGATGTAATTAGGAATGAGGGAAGGAGGATGAATGGATGTAAGTAGGAATGAGGGAAGGAGGA